GATTTTTATTCCGACCCTAGTGGTCATATCGAATTTAGTCCGACTACGATGAGTATGTTACGTGGTTTAGAGAACTAAGTTTGATGTAACATCTAACTTAAGCCGGAAGATTGAAATAAAAGATAATTAAAGCAATATGTAGAGGTATGACGATAGTTGCTTGTAGCTAGAAATGCTACCTTTAAGATGAAATTAGACCATGAAGGAAAGTATAGTATGTTCTGGAAGACTCTAAGAGACCTGAGTCTGAGCATTGCAACATACAATGATAGGTCATTAGAATATGACACATCGTTACATTGTAGTAATAAAAGAACTTATCTTAAGTTCGTATCCAGTAAGGATCGAGATTGTAACTTGAAGGTCATAATTTGGAGTCTAATGTGAGATAGGGAGCAAGTGCAAGATCGAGCACCGCTTGCAGTTAAGGAGTCCAAGAGTTAGATACTCATTCGAATGAACAAAAAAGTTACGATTATTACCTAGGATGAAGAGATAACCTATGGAGTCATTATACTGCCTTGTTTCGTTGATGATTCTGGGACGTAATCATCCTAAGGAGGAGATAATTGTAACACCCATAGATCCGAGTTAGTCAATTTAGAGATAATAGGGGTCGAAAACGACTTTTCAACAAAAGATTATTTTGAATAAATAATCTTAACCAAGTTGTAGAATATACATTAAGGGTTCTGTACATATAAAGAGCGCCGAAATCCGAGTTATACTGAAGAAGTTATGACCCGTCGAAGTTTCGCGACAGAACCGACACGACACTGGGAAGACGTAAATACTGAATTTATGATAGAGAGAATTTTAGCCTTAGTAATCTAAATGAAAGTTGTAGAATATGTTAACCTAAGAGCATCCATAAAAAGAACGCCCAAATATGACTTCGTATGAGGAAGTTATGATTTTTCGAGGTTTCAGCTTAGCAGTATATGACCCGAAACTCGAATTTTAGTTCAAGCGGTTTTTCGCCTACGAGACCTAAATGAGAGTTGAAGATCTCATTAATAGGAACTCAACGATAAAAAGACAGACAAAAATGGAGTCAGTATGAACGAGCTACGAATTCACTGCGGTCATTTAACAATCTAATCTCCTCCTACTGTTAAATTTAAGATTGGTCAAGAATTAGCCAACGTAGTCTAAATGAAAGTTTTAGATCTTGTTTTTACCTATGCGTAAAAAAAAAGAACGTCGAAGATCGAGCTCGTATGTGAAAGTTATGAATTTTTGAAAATCGGCTGATTTCCACCCTGTGTGCGACGCCACGTGTGAGCACCAGTCGAAACCTTGGAGCCTATGCAACACCACGACGTGGTGATGCTCCTGGAGGCCTATAAATAGAGGCTCGACGCTACCTCTTTTCCTCACACCTTTACCTAATTATTTCTCTCTCTAAAACATCTCTCTAAGCCCCCCCCCCCCCCCCAAAGCCTATGGTAACTCCCTAGCATGAGGCGGAAGCCCCCGGAGCACTTGACGGCTCCGAAAAGAAGAGCCTTCGGTTCAGAAACTCTGCTTTGACGGAGCCCGATTTTCAGAAAAACCCGTTGTAAGTGAGCTACGCCTAACCTATCTTTAGTATAGCTTATGATTCAATATAGTAATGTTATTAGAACCTTATAATATATATTTGAGCTATTATTATGAGTTATGTAAGTGTCGTTATAATATCTTTTTAACCACTCGCGGTACGGGGAATCTGGTTTAAAGGGCCACATAGGGTTATTGGATTTCAGAAGTGCTATACGCAAAAATGGTCATGCCCTCCGATGTTTTATGTCTGACCCCTGTCTGTACATAGTGGGTGAAGAGTATTGTTTAACGCTTATATAATAGTAATAATAGTTAGACTATTAATTAGTCTCGGCGAATATTAGACTAAACTCTAGTGATAATGATACTAGGTTTTGTCAGAGGAAAATTGTGTTAAGAGTAACGAAGTGTTGTCCGAGTGCCGACTCACCACCTTTTCAAGTGAGTGCATAGTTACTTTCATCTTACACATAGATATGAAGTATTTTATATAAACTACGTGCTATGTGTACATATTACTTGAATACTTGTTGTTTATGTTGGATGAACGATTTTATATATGTTTTAAATGATTTAAACTGTATACGTATTTTATATCTACAAAATGTGTTAGGTAGAACATGGGTAGATTAAAGATGAGATAAATGATGAGCGATGAGAGATGGGATGAATGATGAGCGATGCTATATAAGTGGTAAAATATGGTGAGAAGCGATGAGCCAAACGATGACCCAAGCGATGGCCCCGTCATCTAGCAGACAACCCTGGACTATTCTAGACAGTCCAGTGGAACACTAGCAGGCTCGCAACCTGTAGGCGTTGTGAACGATGTGTTCATCGGTGTACTCTAAAAACCCATTGACATGTATCGCGAGTGGACTCTCAAAAACTATACTGTCAATAAACGAGATAACCCTAGCAGTTGTGCTCGAAGGACAATACTGGCAGTTGCACCTCATATAGAATGTCACAATTCTGGCAGCTGCGCCTAAGTGATAGAACTGACAGTTGTGCTTGACAGCTGTGTCATTGACAACGATGGACTTCGTACCTATTCCTTAGGATAATCCTTAGGAATAAATGAATGAGAAATAGCTGATTCTTAAGGTAGATCCTTAAGAGTAAACAAGATAATGGGGATGAGTAATTGAGTTAACTGTTTGATGATTAAACATAATAACTATATTATTGTGGGTTGAAAACCGTATGTACTCACCAGGTTTTCCCAACCTGACCCACTCAGTTTATTTATATCATAGGTGTTGATATGAAATCACATTACACTCAGAGATTAAAGGAGATGTAAATCATTAGTGATAATGAATGTAAGTTCTGTTTATGCTTATGTTTATGTATTGACGATGACATCCCAAATGTTTTAAAATGAATACAAATACTTTTCTTCGGAAATGCTTTGATAACGTATTTATCATATTTTACCGGGAACAAATTCCGCAACATTTTTATTAAAAGAGGTACTCTGATTTTTATAAAGCATAAACAAAATCGGTCTTTTCTGGTTGTGAAAATGGGGATGTCACATGATGGTATTCCATGTCGAGGATGACAGAAACCGTTGTATATTGACATTCCAACCCAATGTTTGATTGGGCTTGGGGTATTCCAACCCGATGGTTGACTAGACCCATAATACACTAGCATTCCAACCCAATGGTTGATTAGGCTTGGGGTATTCCAACCCGATGGTTGATTGAACCTGGCATGTTGTTATTGTATATGTTATCTGTTTATGTGTTGGTACTTTGAGGGAACTCACTATGCGTTGGCTTATAGTTTTAGGTTATGTTTCAGGTACTTCATGTGACCGTGGGCAGGCGAAGGCGTGGCCGTACACATCCCCTTGTTTATGACTTATGATTTTGGGGGACTTTGATGTTTTAAAATGTTTTGAAAACTATGATTGTAAACAATTTATGAATTTGGGTTGGTTTTAAAAGTTTAAATTTATTGTGATTTTTATGGATGTTACAGTTTGGCTTTGTTACTGTTACCAACGATCACTTTTTTCAAATTCCTTTTATTTTTTTTTCTTCCTAACAATTCACTTATAAATTACCACTCATATTTCATACATACATCATATACAACACTCTCGATCCAAAAATACCTCAAACCTCTTTCAAAAAATGAATCCAAATAGTCCTCAAGTATTGCTCGGGGACAATCACAGTTCAAAAAATAATTAGTCGTATTTGTAGTCGTTTTATATTAATTGTCGTATTATCTATGTAGTCATTTTATTTAAATTATCGTTTTATCATTGTAATCATTTTAATTAAATTAATAAAATATTTTCCTTTTATTAATTTTATTAAATTACATTAAATTAAAAAAATAATAAAATAAAATAAAATAAAAATCTGGTAAGTTGTGGTATGACACCAATCCGTTCTGTGGGATGAATGGAAAAGTGATGCGGTGATGATGTGACAGTGTAGTTGTGTGGTGAGTAGGGATGTTATTCGGGTCTAGACCGAACCGACCCGAACCCGAATAGCCTAAAAACCAAATAAGGGTAATTGCATGAGCCGAAAACTGAACCGATTAACCAATACGAGTTCGGTTCGGTTCAGTTATTAATCAGTTCGGTTCAGTTATTACCCAAATAACCCGAATAACATGTACAAGATAATTAATAACCTAATATAACAAGAAAAAAACAGAATAAACCGTATTGGGATTCTATACCCGAATAATTAAATAACAATGTACTTTTATACATCAACATAAAACATTCAAAGACTAACATAACACAATAACACATTGAAAGAATAACATTTATATAATAGATTAACATAATGAAAATTAATTTTTTATTTGAGTTTCTTGAGTTGGAGCCCAATTTTCCATGACTAGACAAAATAGAAATTCGTGAATCCTCAGAGACAATAGGAATAATCGATTTTTGAAAGTCTGAAACAAAAGAAATGATAGATAGAAATGATTTCGAGTTTGGAAATAGATGAAAAGATGGGTCGATTTTGAAACGACGAGAATGAGTGTAGTTTTTTTTTTTTATTTTTTTTTGTTATGAACGACGAGGACAAACCATCAGAGGTGTGAATCATGATTTTAATTTCTGTCGATCAGAGAAAAGGGACAACAAATGCTTATTCGAGTCGAGTATTTAGAATCGAATAAACTCTTATTTGGATAACCAGAATCGAATAAGCAAAATATAGATACCCGAAACTCGAAACCCGAATCGAATTGCTTATTCAGTTTGGTTTGATTCGAGTTTCGGTTCGATTCGGATTTTTTGAGCAAATTCTCATCCCTAGTGGTGAGTGTGTTGTGATACCCACTGGCCTAAGTGGGAAAGGCAAAACTTTGGGTAGTAAACTGTAACAAGTTTTAAACTACAGGGACTAACCTTTAATTACGACATATTTACTACATATAAAACACAGTTTGTTCTCCTTCTCCAGTCCCAACTATCATCTTATAAGCTTTCTCCTCGCCGCCGTGCGCCCTTGTCGCCTCCTCTTCCCGCGGCCGTCTCTTTCGCTCATACTTCCGGTACGCACGCTACTTGTTGGCTCGTTTGAGCTTTCCCAAGTTTTATGTGGCTGTTTTTATATACCCCTACTTGTTTGCCCTAATTCAATCGTCAAATTTTTTTGTTAATTAGTGCGAAAACAATGGTGTTCCTGCGATTTGTATTTCTTCTTCATAAAATACTAGAGTAGTTAGTGTTTATAATCACCAAACAGAATCAATTTTTCTTAATATCGAACTCATCGTTCTCAGAGAGATTCGCATTGCATTAAGTTCAAGGTTGCTATATTGTTGAACCTTTTGAGAAAAAAAATCGGTCGCAGTTTTCATAATCCCTAATATTCTTTTCCTCACATCCGCCTCCTCCCTCTTCTCTTCTGATCATCGTCGGCCCCAATATTTTCCCTCTCATCCCCCTCTCGTACACACTCCTCCGCCATCGACTCCGGCAGATTCATGTAATCAACTTTTCTTAACAGAGATCGTTTTTTTCTGAAATCGTTTTCAGTTCATCTGTACATGGCATTAGATCATCATGCTTCTGATTCAGATCATCACTTTTCCCTAACTTCCGTTTTCAGCCTTTCAATATCAGTATTCCATCTATCCTAAAATTAATCTGGTTATCCAATTCGTTGATTTCATTATCTCGCTTTGATATGTCAGCTAGGCTTAGCTTTACTTACTCTAGCGACACTTTTTCCATTGTTTCAATCTTACAATTAGACTCACTAATCATAACATGAACTTCTGAATCTTTTTCTTCAAAGGGTTACAATCTAAAGAACCTTTTCTGTCCTCCATTGTTCTTTGCAGCTAATTCTTGAAAATGTCATCCTTAAAGCATGCTGTTCATAGACGGGCCCACAAGGAACGATCTCAACCGTAAGTAACATACTGACATAATAAATTTCATCATTTTTGTTACATGTTCTTCTTACAATTTTTTTTATAATGAATTGAATTACATTCAGAAAAGAAAGGAAAAGGTTTGGACTTCTTGAGAAACACAAGGACTATGTTGTTCGTGCAAAAGCCTTTCATAAAAAAGAGGATTACTTACAAGTAAGCAAAATTAAAACTACTTTTTCTTTGAAAATATCTTAATTTCTTATTCAAAATATAACTAAAATTATGACATGATTACTAAAATTTATAACAGAAACTCAAGGAAAAGGCAGCATTCAAGAATCCAGATGAATTCTACTTCAAGATGATCAACTCCAAGACTGTTGATGGAGTACATAAACAGGCGTAATTTTTCATACCCCACCTCCATCTTTTTTAAAAAAATCAAAACCAATTTTTATTTATTTATTTATTTATATCCTTCAGGGGTGACCCAAACAAATACACTCAAGAAGAACTCCTGTTGATGAAGTCACAAGATATTGGTTATATCTTGCAGAAAGTTCAATCTGAGAAAAAGGTTAGTAACTCAATTTTTTGATTTTCTGTATATTTGAGAGTGTTATAACTTATAACTTATATACTGAAATTATTTTAATTTAATGCAGAAAATTGAAAAGCTAACTGCAACACTACACTCACTTGATTCTCAGCCTTCAAACAGACATGTATATTATGCTGAAGATAGGTCTGAACCTCTTTTAGTCTCTTATTTATTTATTTATTTATTTTTTATCATAAAAAGAAGAAAAAAACTAATTGGAATTTATGCTATCAATAAATATGTTTTAGGGTTCGTTAGTCACATAAAAGACCTTATATTTTGTGTTTTTTCCGGATTAAACCTCAACTTTATTTTTTGTCTGAAAAAAAGACCACCCTTGTATTTTTTTCATTTTTCCAAAAACGCCCTCAACTTTGTATTTTTTTCCAAAAAAACCCTCAACATTCTAAATGCTTCCAAATAAACCCTCAGTTTTTCTCAAAAAAACCTCACATTATGCAATTTGACTAAAATGGCCAGATCGGTAAAAAATGAAAAAATACAAGGTCTTTTTCAGGCAAAAAATAAGTTTGAGGTTTAATCTGGAAAAAAACACAAAATATAAGGTCTTTTATGTTTAAATATTTTTATTTTATTTTTTCAGGGAAGATGCTAAGAGAATACTATCAGAAACAAAGAGTGTTGGTGGATTTCAAGCTTTTGAAGATTTGCCTGATAAAATTAAAAGGTAAATTATTATACTATTATATTAATATATATTTTATGTTAATCCTATTAACATAAAATTATTTTTTTTTAAAAAAATAAATAATTTTCCAAATTCTTTTGCAGGAGAACAGCTGCTTCCTACAGAGAGTTGGAAGCAAGAAGAGGAAGAGTTCAAGAACTTGAGAAAGTTTATAATGAAATGGCAATGAAACAAGAATTACAGGTAATTATATGTACTTTTATTTACTTGTATATTATACTATTCCAAAATTACCCTTGTAGTTCTAAGAAAATAACGAAAAGATAAGTGCAGTATAAGTCTTTTTATGTGTCAAGTAGTAACATAAAAATACCTTAGGGATATGGTTCGACTGCAAAAATAAAAAAGTTAGGGACTAAACTTGCAAATTTGACCAAACCACAGGGACTATTTCAGTAAATTACTATATTTTGTATATGCAGAAAAAAGGTAAAAAAAGAAAGCTGCGTGAAGATGAGATCGTTTGCCCGAGTTCTAGACCAGTCTATAAGTGGAGAACAGAACGCAAACGTTAAAAGAAGGTAAATTTTATTTTTATTTTTTATTTTTATTATGTTATAAACAAATTAGTGACAATTTGTCATATTTATTTAATGCAGATAGAAGTTTTTTGGGGAATCAGTATTAGAGTTTCTATGTGTTTTGTTGGTGATATTTTTTTTTTGTCAAATTAAGTAACTTTTTTATATGATTGATTTTGACAAGTACTTGTTATAATGTTATCAATGTATGGAACAATTTAGAATACATATTTTTTTTTTTACTTTGTTTTGTATCGATAATAGCAACAAATTATTAATTTTTTTTTTAACCTTTTGCAACGTGAAACCTACAAATTGTTGACGAGAAATTGTGAAATCGTGTTATGTGTATGTTTTAACAAAACGTGTTCTTTGATTAAAATAAATAGATATTGGTTTTGATGCGAGTAGAAAAAGGTTTTAAGTGTTTGATGGTTGATTGTTTACTTTTATTCTCTCATTTTTGAACTTTAATATGTAACTATGAATGAATGCTTGAAGAAAGTGACAAATGGTTATAGTTACAGTTGTTTGATTACAATAGTATAATACTTTTTGCTTGAATAGAAAGAAGAAATATAATATTTTCATTATACTTTCTAAAAAATTAACGATGGGCTTGTCCAACTAGGGTTTGCACAATGGTTTTAGGTATTATCTTTTTCTTTGAAATCGAAGGTTCAGATTGGAATAGTTTAAAATTAAATGATTTGCTGTTTATAATAATAATAATAATAATAATAATAATAATAATAATAATAAACAATGAGCTTGATCCAACTATTTTATGTATTTGATCAAATTGACCCATACCTCATTATAGCCTATATCTAAATAGGGGCCATCTCTTTCAATCAATGCCAAGGGATCTCTTGAAATGATATCAAATTGTCCTCATGATCCATTAAAACAGAAATATATGAATCAAATTTTATTCAAATGTTTGCACATTGTCTCTTATCTTTAAATTCTTGCTTTGAGCCAAATATTCCCTTAGTTTGATCTAACAATGCTAGTTTACTTATGAATAAATGTGAAAGACTTCCAACATCTGCTTTGTTTAAAAAAAATTGAAAATCTTGTTGGTGATTTTAGTTGTTTTTGGTCATTTTGGTGTTTTTGAAATTCATTTAAGAGTCAAAATGAGATCAATTGTGATATGATACAAGTTTGATTGTGCCGAATGCACATTTATATAAGATGATTTTAGTCCTGAACATGAAGATTGACAAGAGGTGTGTGGGGTCAAGGGGCAACTACCCTTGTGGTGGTTCCGAAACCTAAACAACATTTGGGTGACAAGTGCAATGGAAAAGCATAGACAAAATAAGAGATTAAAAGGTAAAACTAAAATTTCTTAGGACTGGATAGGGAGCACCCGACCTACTGGACAACCCACCCAAGTTGTCACATGTAGGCCTTGTTGTCAACCCTATATCAATTGTATCAGACAACTCAAGTTGTCAAGTAGACAAACGGTTTTTGATGTATATAAACTATTTTAACTATCGAAAATCGTTGCTTTCGTCATTCTTATCCAATTTTGGATTATATACACACACACACATACACACCATTTTTTGGAACATTGATGATCTTGAACTTCCCGATACGAAGCTGGTACTCTGTTTTCTTTCTTGTGCCTAAGTATGCATTTAAGTGTTTTGTGCTACGATAATTGTGCAAAAATATTGTCGATTCTTGAATATAGAGAGAAAATAGTTTTTAAAGAAAATAATAACACAATCTTATAATCTGTCCAAACCATTTTAAACATGAACATAATCTCTTTTCAAACAAAATTTCCAATACTTATAACTGTCAAGTTTCTTTTAGATCACTAAGCATATTGAAATTATTTTTCGTGATTTCTTAAATTGTGATGTTTGACAAACCAAAAAATAGATTATAAATTAGTTTCTTAAAAATCTACACATACTAACATTTCAACGAACTTACTGACATTTTAAAATTTTCCCAAATATACTCGTTATAAATTATATAAATAAACTCAGTGTTCTGTATGCCATTTTTTTTTGTCATTTTACATATTTTAGCTATATACCTTATTAGTTATTTTTTCAAACGTCCCTTTTTATGAGATAGATTTTCAGTTTCCAACTATTTTTTTAGCTAGCAACTAGCTTTTAGCTAATCTACCAAACACAATTTAAATGGTATAATTAACAAAACAACGTGTAGCGCAGCTAGCGCTTGTAGGTAATTCTGATTCCGAGTTATTTTATTTTATTATTATTATTTAGAATACCATAGTATCAAAGGCAATCATAGCAAGTTTTATTCTCGAATATATATGTGTGTATATATATATATATATATATATATATATATATATATATATATATATATATATATATATATATATATATATATATATATAGGTGTAAGACCCATGTTGTCACACTCCAAAACCGGAACGGCGGAAACGTTCTGAGGTGGATGACGTCATGTCAAGTATCACAACAAATGCATTATAGTAATCAAAGTACAACAAAAACATTGCATTAATAGTAATAGTTTTACAAGGTTACATTACAACAATTTAAAGTAATACAAGTAATAGAATAAATACAACGTGGTACTAAGCTATCTTCATCAACAGCTCCGGGGATGTACCTGTCTAATGCTAACCTGAGAATACAAGTTATTTGAAAAGCGAGTATCAGCATTTTTACAATGCTGGTGAGTTCATAAGTATTTAGTGTCATTTAGTCAAATAACTTTATAAAGCAATAGTTTAAGTGATTTCAGTGTATTAGTGTTCTTTCCAGAAAATCCTATATTTTCTTTAATAAAAGCAGCCTTCTACCAAGACTGGTCAGTGTATTGTGGTAAGAAGAAGTTTCCCTTAATTGCTAATAATATCAAAATACTGAATTTGATTATTAAAGAAAGCAGAGGCATCAGGGAATAACATATGCCTCAGCAGTGAGGACTGCTGACTAAGGCAAAAGAGTCATAGACTCCAGGCAAGTATCGAACTAACGACACGCCTGGTTCAGTATAACAAATGGAGAAACAGACCCCCGAAGGTACCAAATGAAAGGTACAACTGGTAAGGTCTAAAACAGTGAACGCAGACCGAAGACGATACCAAATGGAAGGTACATCCTGCAAGGTCATAACAATGAAGACAGACCGCAAACGTTACCAAATGAAAGGTACATCTCGCAAGGTCAAACAGAGATAACAGACCCCAGACGGTATCAAATGAAAGATACATCTTGTAAGGTCAAACAGAGATAACAGACCCCAGACGGTATCAAATGAAAGATACATCTTGTAAGGTTAAACAGAGATAACAGACCCCAGACGGTATCAAATGAAAGATACATCTTGTAAGGTCAAACAGAGATAACAGACCCCAGACGGTATCAAATGAAAGATACATCTTGTAAGGTCAAACAGAGATAACAGACCCCAGACGGTATCAAATGAAAGATACATCTTGTAAGGTCAAACAGTGTGACTCTGAAAAACAGTGATATCAGCATACAGTGTAAATCGCTGACAAAATACCGTTACCTTAAAGCCATGAATTATAAGGCAACCCAGGATACTCGTAACCATACTGACTAGAGTACTAGACGCCCTACAAGCATCTATATAATGTGACATTTGTCACCCCTTGGCTTGGTAGGCCGTGGACTGTAGCTAGCAGTCAGGGTGCGGGGTTGTCAATCCCGTATAGGCCTATACACACAATGTCCGCTCTCCCTACAGGAGACTCTGGTTACCAACTAGACGATGGAGAAGGCCGCGTCCCGAAGATGCATCCCAAATAGAGGATAGTGTGTTACTAGGAGGGAGTGGGTTTCTTATGTAAGTGTAGACTAGAGGTATAGATTCTTAGCTGAATTGACTGAAGAAAACTCGTATATCTATGCTCGTATACATAATATATAACTAATGAATCGAACGACCTTCAGATGGACATCCGATCCCACCAGACCACATCTCAACGAAGAAAAGGAAATAGGGCAGACAAGCCTTCCTAAGTCCTTCAATCATTATTTATATGCATCTATACAAGCATAAACATACATCTAACTACGCTTGAGTGTGTATCATACAGTGAAGTATAAGTGTACAGTGGAACATCTGAGTCGTGAAGTATAAGTGTACAGTGGAACATCTGAGTCGTGAAGTATAAGTGTACAGTGGAACATCTGAGTCGTGAAGTATAAGAGTACAGTGGAACATCCGAGTCGTGAAGTATACGTGTACAGTGTGGGATAATCGAACCATGAAGTATAAGCGTACCAAGTATAAGTGTATCCTGAAGCAGAGACGACAATAAGTGATGTAAGAACGTCTATCAAGTATAAGTGGAGTAAAGTCGTTATCCAGTATAAGTGAAGGAGAAATCGTATCACTAAGTAAGAGCGTGAATAAGTATGAGCGTCATCAAGTATAAGCGACTATAGGTATAAGTGAAAGTGTTACCGAGTCAGAGTATAAAATAAGTATAAGTGAAGCAGCAGTGTTTAACAAGTAAAAGTATACATCAAAAAGGGAAATCTTTAATGAAAAGCCTTTATGTACAGAGAAAATCACAAATTGTATTCCTTTGTAAAATACGTTTAAAACCTTAGAGGATCTTTCATAAACCAATTTAGGATGAATTTGAATAAATCAGTATAAGTAAAAGTTATGAAACAGGTAAAAGTCATTTTAGTGTCCCACTCGGTAAAACAATGTAAAAGTGGTAAAATCTTGTGCATGCGGGTTATCAATCATATGCGATTGACATGATAACTGGCATGTTTAACTTGTATTCCCCCCTATAAAACATTTAAAAGCATTTAAAAGGTTCATTCAGGGGTATGAACTCACCTGGTGTAAGTAGGTCCGACGAGAGTGCTGATTGGGCGTTCGGTGTCACGTAAGGACTCGAACACACTCAATGACCTATATAACATATGATATCATATGTTCACATACAATTAGTATATTTAATACTAATTAAACAAATATACGCGCTCTAAGGAGCGGAAAACACTTTTGGTTAAGTGTTTGGGGTCCCGGGTAGCGTTTAAGGGTGCTACGGGTCTCCTATCAGTCGTGGAACTTTGCTAAACTCTAATATCAAGTGTGTGAATGGGTTTAAAGCATTAATATGGACCATTTTGGAGTTTACAGCCTAACACAAGGGAGTTTACGGCCGTAAACTCCCAAGGTCATATTCTTGGGTGTTTAATGCTTCTAGCTTGCTCATGGGATTTTTCTAAGGACTTTTCATAAAAGGCATGAGTGGGTTTGAGGCTTCTAAGGGCATTATATTGGAGTTTACGGCCTATGAAC